TGGACATTACTAAGAGCACCCTAGATCAGATGCTAGAGGTTGAGAAGCAAGAGAATTGGAGGTTCCCTTTAATAAAATAATTGCAGGAGCCCTTTACGGGAAAGGACATTAGGGATGACCCCATTGGAAGGAGGGCTCTAAGGTTATACTTGTAGGATGGGATTCCGTATGAGCAATCATATGTGGGGCCCCATCTAAGGTGTGTCTTAGAGCAAGACGGAGAATACGTGCTTAGGGAGGTGCATGAGGATGCTGTGGCGACCACATAAAGGCTAGGGCATTGGTTGGGAAAGTGCTTCGGGCTGGACATTTTTGGCCTAAGATGATGACGATGGCGCAAGACCTTGTGCAAAAATTTAATAAGTGCCAGCAACATGGTCCATTAATTCATCGGGAAGTGGAAAACATGGTCCCAATTAGCTCACGAGTACTTGTATCCGATAATAGAGCTCAGTTCAGAGGTCAGCGTACGATGAGTTGGTGCCAGGATATGGGCATAAAACAGCAGTTCGCCTCGCTAGCCCACCAAGGCGAATGGGTAGGCCGAGGTCGCGAATAGATTAATTCTAAATGGATTGAAGGCTAGATTAGAAAGAGCCTCATAAGACTGGGTATATGAACTTGACCTGGTCCTTTAGTCATATCGTACGACGCTAAGGACCACAACAGGGAAACCATCGTTCAGTTTGGTTTATGGCATGCAGGCAGTCATTCTGGTTGAGGTTAGCCTCAAGTTAAAAAGAGTTAGTATCTATACAGAGAAAGGGAATGTCGAGCTCAGAAGCAAGGAGTTTGATCTGGTGAATGAGTTGCGTGACCAGACGGGGTTAAGGACAGTGGCGTATAAGCAACGAATGAAGGCAACCCATGATAAGTCAATTTGAGCTCGACGTTTTCAAGTGGGGACCTTGTTTGGCGTTAGGCGGATTCCCTGAAGCATGTCGAGAAGTTGGAGCCGAATTGGGAAGGGCCATATACCGTCGAAAGGGTATTAGCGGGAGACGCCTATGAGCTACGTGATGCAGAAGGGCAGTTGTTGCCTCGACCTTGGAACATATTACATTTAAAGATGTATTACGCCTAGCTTGAGAGATGTTACTTATAATATTCGTTTGTTTATGTTATTTTCTGGCAAGTCAAATAATAAAGATTGCCTTTGAAGTTTTATAAGCTTAATCATTTTCTTGTTTGAAATGCGTGAAGACTTGCCTATTTAGTGTCGTAAGGCGAAATCCTGTTATGTCTCATTTGAGCTCTGTCTCGTCCGAAGCTCGCGGAGCATGGCAACGGCCGTCGTAGGGTGAAAGCCTGTTAAGTCTCGTTTGGGCTCGCGGAGCTTTGCGACGGCCGTCGTAGGGCGAAAGCCTATTAAGTGTCGTTTGAACTCGTGGAGCTCGGCGACGACCATCATAGGGCGAAATCCTGCTAAGTCTCATTGGAGTTCGTGGAGCTCGGCGACGACCATCATAGGGCGGAAGCCTGTTAAGTCTCGTTCGAAGCTCGCAGAGCTTGGCGACGACTGCGTAGGGTTAAATCTTGTTAAGTCTCGCATGAGATCGCGAAGCTCGGCAACGACCACCATAGGAAGAAAGTTCGCTGGGTTCTCGTTCGAGTTCGCGGAGCTTAGCCGAATGTATGAGGCTTGGTAGAAGCATTGACAGGGGTCGTCGTATGAAGTCGAGTACGTGAGTTTGCAGAGCTTAGCAATAGTTGTGCTGGTGCAAAAGCCCGTGGTCACAATGCTAGGTTTTGTAAAGCTCGATGGAGTAAGCTCACAATTCACAACACGAAATAACAAGCTAAATGATAATATATTGTTTAAGTGCGCGGCGCTTGAAGCGAGCGATAGCGATATGTCAGCAACGTAATGTAAGAAGGCGTTAGAAAGCGATAAAGAAAAACTGGTTTATGCAAAGATGAAAGGAAAGCATGATGTATTGAAAGTGCGAATGTCTCATGATTAGATAATACACAGAACAAGTTCGAAGTTACATCCCAAAATAACAAAGTTTGCCAAAACAAATCAAAAAACAATGCCACAAGTGATTTTAAGACAAAGACCAAGACCGGCTGCCTTCTCCACCTCCAGCTCATCCTGGGCCACGGCAATTTCCAAGACCGGCTCCCACCAAGGATGGGAAGCATGAAGTGACTTGTCGACACTCCACCCCAATGGTTTGTGAAGGCCTTTGATCACCTCGGCTTCATACTAGAAACCGGTGAAGCCTTGAGCCGTGGCTTGAGCTTGGGTCATAACTCCCTCCTGGGCGACGCGATCATCCACTAATTGTTGTAGCTTCTCGAGCTCAAAATCTTTGGCCTTGAGTTCAGCCACACACGACAGTAGCTGGTTATCGAGCTTTTCCTTCTCGGCCTTCTTGATGTCGATGGCCTCCTGAAGGCTAGAAAGTTGAGCCTAACCCTTAGCCACCTCGTCCTTCAGCTCTTCAAGTCGCCTTCCAAGGACTCGTGGAGAAGAGGAGCTAGGCTGGCTAGAGTCTATTTGAGGAGGAAGAGATAATCTCACGTTAATTCAACGATACCCAATACTAAAAAATGAGGTTAGGGGCAGTAAATCATACCATGCCAAGGTGATAGGTGATGGCGGCAGCTCGCTTCTCCTTGGTCGGCTATTGGGTAGTTTCACCCTCAGGAAAAATGGAGAGGAGGTAGGAGCTGGTCAACGACATGTTTTTATTGCCAGCAAATTGGGCTGGCTGTTTCAAGATTGGCTAAGAGCATATTTTCTGTGCGTCATTCTACATAGGAACAATTTTCATTTTGAGGCCGACCTTCTAGCGTTTGGTTGAAAAAGATCTTTATGGTGGCTTGCGGTTTCACGGGCGTTCGATACCCTCAGGAGCAGCTGCTGAGTCGGCCACCTGCTGCTTCTGAACGACAGCGGGTGTCGGGGCCGTTTTTGGCGACAAGTTAGGGTCGGCGGTGATGGTGTTAAAAAGCGATTCTGCAAAATAGATAAGAGATAACAAATATATAAGTATGCAATTTAAAATAATAAAACTAGCATGGAAAAAGAGAGTAGACAACATGGCATCAGCTCGCGGCACCCGATGCTTACCTATATCATCCACGTGCTCGGTAGCACAACTTGATAGCCTGAAGTAACGGAGAAGCTGACGATTGGAGATTAGCTTTACCACGTGAAGAGGTCGTCCATTCCATTGACTTATGAGAGCGTCATATTCAACACTCTGTTTCGGATTGTTGCAGTGACCTGGCAACTCGTGCAGCCAGGCTGACGAGAAATCAAAGGTATCTGGAGAAGGATGGAGGAAATAAAATTTATTTCTCTAATTATGGATTTTCGAGTGAGGTTGTTTCAAGAAGTGGGTCTTGTTGCGGTGTGAAAGGTAGAATGAGTCGTTCAGAGATTTTAGCCAAAGGCAATAAAAACAAAAATTGGGGTCAAGTCTGCCGAGGTGGGCACGACATAACATGATAAACCGACTTAAAGACGGATTGTGTTGGGAGCAAACTGATTCAAGAGCAAGCGATATAGCCGGCTTAGCTCAAGCTAGTCGGCATGTAGCGAAAATTTCAGCCTGCCCTCTATTTGATCGAGGAAAAAGTTGTAGTAGCCGGATAGAGGGTTGTCGTAAGAATTTCCAGAGCGTGGGATCTTGAGAACCCATCCTCAGGGCAGCTCGATCTTTTTGAGAAGTTAGGTTATTTGATCAATTAAAAAGGAGGAAATTGGGTTCAGGCGTGTGGCTCGGATAGGAGAAGAAACCCCTTTCACTTAATCATCAGTAGATGGGGGCATCTTGGAAGTCGCGGACGACGCGGCCGGAAAGGCCAAGGTGATGGAAGATTGTCCTACGAGTGCAGAATGCGAAAGAGAAGGAAGGGCGAAGCACGTGTTAGTTTTAGAGGCGGGGTACTCTAACAAACAAGTAGGCCGAACAACAAATCCACAAACATGTACAAGGAGGTCGCGACGCACGGTGAAAAAAAAAATAAAAATGAAAGGAAGGGGAACGAATTTAACTAAGAAAATGATGATAAACAAGGCATAAATAAGAGCAATGTACCCATGAAGCCGTCCGACATATCGCGCGGGTGGGGGTATACGACCGATGTATAAGTAGCGGCCGGTGAAGGTGTGTGAGCTTGTCGGGATGCTCTAGGATCGCCGGAATCAAGGAGGGAGATGTGAGTTTCTTGAGGAAGAAAAAAGAGAGGAGGCAAGAGTGGTGAATAATGCCCAAAATTGGTAGGTTTTATAGATGAGGGAGTTGCAAGGCTTGGACGATCTAGGCTATTAATTTTGATTTTAATCAAGAGTGGAGAGTGAAACTTGTGGGAGAAGTTGGGCAATGACATGTTCTACATTCCCAAGGAAGTGGGTAGGTGAGGATAGGAGAGCATGTGCAACAAATGGTAGGTGAGAAAGGGTTGAGCCTTCTTAGTCGAGCTATAGGCATCTCTTGCGACGCTCGTGCCACAGCTCGGCACATCGCGTGTCGGGAAGGTGCGATAGCTTGGTGCTTCGAGCGTCGGGAAAGTGCGACAGCTCGGTGCTTCACGCATCGGAAAAGTGCGAAGCTTTCACCGCAGCTCGACACTTTGAACGTCGGGAAGATGCTATGCTCTCTCCGCAATTCAACACTTCGCACGTCTGGGAAGGATGTCGGCACAGGTGTTCGGGTAGGTCGGCACATTTGTTCGGGTAGGTTGGCATGTGGATATTCTTTGCAGCTCAGCACTTAGTAGGTTGGGAAGGTGCGATGACCAAATTCTTGCTACTGGTCGTGCTCGAAGTTGTTTCTCAAGTTTGGGTGGTCGGCCTGGCCCGAGGTGGTAGTAGCTCGCGTGAAAAGCTACCAAGCTGTGATTGTTAGTCAAGGGGGTTGGTAAATTTCCGATCGTTGTGAATGGAACGAGATCAGTGGCGCGGGTAGGGCCGAGGTCGAAGAAGTCACATTTTTTATCGAGCTACCCGTAGCTCGTTCGAAGATTGGGAGAGGGGGCTAGATGATATGCACAGTTATTTTGGGAAAAGAGCTCGTCCCCAATCGATAGCTTGCATGTGCGAGGACAAGTTTGAGGTGAATAGGGGCTAGACAGGGGGTTAACTTGGCATGAGCACTTCGGCGGCATACCAAATATTGGTGAGCTCGGCAGGTGTGATCACTTTGGCACCTCGGGAGACGACGGAGCCAGAGGAGTAGAACCTCGGCCAAAGGGTTCTGTCAAGGGGTCCAAGTTGAGGGGGTAATTCCATAATCTAGTTATGAGGAGGTTTGCAATGTTAAGGAGTCTGAATATTCATAAATATTTGACCTAATCAATTGGAAAGACTTCTTGTCCAACAAGAATTCTTCGGCCTATGCGTAACCTCGACTAAAAAAGGGACACAAATTCATTCTTTTTACACAACACACATACACGCGCGAAGGGACCGAGCCCGGTCTAGCCGAACCCAGCCCGACCGCCCGGCCCAGTCGGGCCGGCGATCCGGCCAGCCAGCGAACCGGCCGGTTCGACCGGTGGTTCGAGTCAGTTTTGATTCGTGATTTCTAATCCGAGTCCAGTACCGGAAATTTCAATGTTTTTCCGAGCCAGTCCAGTCCAGTTTTGCTTAAATTTCAATGTTTTTCCGTGCATTTTAGCATATGATTAAATATTCTGAGCAGTATACTTAGCATTATTTTGCTTAAATATTTATGTAGCCTAAGGAGAGTCGAGCCTCCGACCGCTACTCCAGCTTCCGCACTTGCATATCAGATTCCAAGTTTTTCAGGTGGGGGTCATGTACTGGATGTCACATCATAGATAATATCTGTACCATGGCAGAGGTATGTTTGAGACAGTTTAGTTCCGGGTTGGGTGGCCGAGGCCTTTATACCCACCTGATGACCGTTGGGAGGGGCGAGGCCCTTTCTACCCCATCGGCGTGTGCACACGAGCGGCTACGGCCGAGGGTCTTTTGACCACAGATCAGAACAGACATCAGAGATCAGTTTACAGTTTCAGCTCTTATATATTTATGTTTCATGATACGTTATTATAGATGATGTTTTGTTCAGTACTGGTCTTTGCGGAGCATAGTGGTTTGCTCACGCCCCCATTGTGTTTTTCAGGAGACGGAGTCGAGCGTGCCGGATGAGCACAGATGTGGCGCAGCGTGGTCATGAGAGTCGGACATATCTTACCAGCATTTTTATGTCCTAGATTTATGATCATGTGTATTTTATTCAGTTTATGTACGCATGTTATGTATTCGTATTTTCGGATGCTTCCGCCAGGGAGTTCTTCTAGACAGTGCGAGACAGTACAGACTATGCATGTATAATTCCATAATCCACGAGCGGACAGTTTGGTTGCATGTTTTATTATGTCTGTGGGCAAGCCCAAGTTTCAGTTTAAGTTTTTATCTGCCACATCCCGCAATAAGTCAGTATTTTCGAAAACCCAGCTCGCACGTTCTTTCGAAAATAAAAACAAAAATTATTCTCTGATTTTCAAAGCTAGTAGTAAGGCGGGGTGTGACAGAATGTTGATTGACGTTGAACTGACTTGAGCGTCGAAGTTTTTTTCGCCGGGACCCCTCCAAATGTTTTGCAGGTCATCGGAGACACCAAAGGCTGTTCAAACCAGCGGAAGGCGGTTCAAATTTGGTCAAGGCTAAATTTGCGCAACAAATTGATTGTTGCTGAAAATTTCAAATGAAATAAATGATAATCATGACTTAGTTTGATTGGTAAATTGGTCTTGATTTCCACGTAAATTTCCCTATGGCTTTTGTCATGATTTACCAACATAATAGATTGGAATTATTGCGTATAACATATATTATGGCCTTAGTTTTGTATAAGCTGCGTTTGGATGCATATTAAGGGACTGGATCCTCGTAAATTTGATGTGTTACATTGGTCCTAGAACTCCACAGGAAAATTTACAGTAGCAGCTTCATACCACAAGCTAAGTGCAGAGAGATTAAGGAAGATGGATATTGCAAGCTCTAGCAATAATCCCAGTAGACTGAAACTTGCAAGAAGAAGAACCTGGGGCTTTAAGATCAAAAGAAAAATCCGGCACTTTATTTGGAAAGGGCTCAACAATATCTTATCTGTCCTGGTTAACCTTTATGCTAGAGGATCCAACTTGGAACAAAGGTGTCAGTTCTATGGTGAGATGGAAGAAACTCAGGAAACTTGTTTTTTCTCTTGAACCAGAGCTCAACTGATATGGAAATTAGCCCCAATCTCTTGGGATAGACTCAAAAAACAAAAACAAGAAGCTTCAAGCACTGGTGGCTAAAACTTTGCACTATCAACAAAGCACTAATCTTAGAAGATAGAGTGCAACTCACATGCTACCTACTTTGGTGGATGTGGAAAACCACAATTTAGGGGTGTTCCAACAAGTGTTGAGATCTGCAGATGATACAGTCTGGCAGTGGCTGACTGGAAGGAATATGCTCGCTATTCTGCATAGGTTTGGTTTGTATACAGAGGTTTGAGTTGTTGTTTTCTTAGTGTTCTTTAGTTTCCTTGTTGTTGTTTGGTAGGTTTTGATAATTAGCTAGGTCCGATTAGGGATTTAGTGGCTAATTATTTTTTATTGTTGTATTGGTTCCTTGTATTGGGAGTTCAGTTAAGCAGGAGATAGATTTGGGCTCATGGGTTCTTAGCGGTAGGCTTAGCTGTGAGACCATTTTTATTTCTATTGGTTTGTTATGTAAGGAGCTGGTGCTTCTTCTGTTGTTGTATTGGCCCAGGTCGTCGAACTTGTGCATTTGGAGTATGAATTCGGTCGTTTTGATAAAAAATAAAATAAAATAAAATATCCATCAAATATTTCCTAATTATATTATCTATATAAGAATATAATAATTATCTATGTAAGTTAGTCACCTAAGTGACCTAGTTTAATTTATGGAATAGATAATTAAAACTCGATAAAAGCATCAATTATTCAAATAGAGAAGATGTCTTATTCATATAACCAAAAATTATAGTATTTCGATAATTGATGTTATAGATTATAAACTAGGAGGACACCCAAAGGTGGACTATAGTTTGTAATCTATGACAATAAAAGAAAAATTATAATTAAAGTTAGGTCAGTTAGTGCGTTTGTCCAAAGACAACCTCTGATTGATTAAAATTATATAATTGTTATCAAGGATTAATATTTAAATGAGAAGTTTTACTTAAATTGGTGTTAATTACCGTGTTTATCCAAAGATAGCCGCTAGTTGACTCAAATTTATATAATTTCTTAATAAAAAAGAGATTATAGGTATAGTTAGGCTAATTAGTGTGTTTGTCTAAAAATAACCACTAATTAATCACAATGCCTATAATTTCTACTAAAGATATTTTCTCTTAGGCATCAATTAAATATATTATATATTTATGTATTTCTCAAAGTTATATTTAAATATATAATTAAAAAGATTTCTGAATCCATTAAATTTCTCTCAAAGCTCACTTAAATAACAAGTATTAAAGTTTGCAGCGTTTAAATTCTGTTTTCCGTTAAGTATTATTATTGAATAAATTCAATGGGTTGAACTTCAATGAATGGTCTGTGCATATCCATTTTTCAGTTAGGTGCAATGAATTTGGATATGATTCTAATTACTGATGAAATACCCACTACCATTACTGATGAGAGCTCCGAAGTAGAGATAACTCTTCGTAGGGCATGTGAGCGATCAAATAGGTTGTATTTCAATTTTATGAAGTTAATCATGACGAATGACATTAAGACTTCAATATCAAAGGTTGATAATGCAGAAGAATTCTAAAATAAAATCAAGAAACTATCGCCATTTAAAATTGCAGAAAAGTCTGTTGTGGAAAGTTTCATTAGCGAGCTCACCACTATAGAAGTTCAACTGATTCAGCTACATCCATGATCTCGTGACCCACATATTCAACATATAAGTTAACTTATAAACATGGGAATGGATGTGACAGACTCATTTCTAGTTCTATTCATCATGAACTTTCTACCTGTCGAGTTTGACCAATCTTAGGTGAAATATAACACCATTAAAGATAAATGGAACTGTAAGCAAATTATGGCTATACTGATGTAGGAAAAGGCGAGAATAAATGAGATGAAAGAAGCGTCGATTCACTTTGTATCTCATGTGGGAGCCAACAATAGTAAGATAAAATGGGAAAAAAAGGCAAATAAAAAGAGATTGGTCTACCTAAAGTTTCTGGAGGTCCAATAATTAAAGAAATGAAGTGTTATTCCTATAAAAAGTTAGGTCACTTTAGGAAATATTTCCTAAAATAAAATCTTGATTCAAAAAGAATGATATACATTAAATTTATGTATGCTGCGAATCAAATTTATTAAAGATTCCCAAGAATACTTGGTGGCTTGATTCTATGCAACTACTTATGTATCTCATATTTATTTTAAGTTTAAATGTAGTTCACATAATTAAAATTCTGCTCTCTTATGTCATCAAATATTCGGTCACATATTCGAATAAAAGTTATTGAGAATTGTGAAAAATGAAACCATTTCTCATTTGAATTTTAGTCAAGATGTATGTGTAGAATGCACTAAAGAAAAGCAAACTAGACATATAAGAAATCAGCTAATAGTAACACAAAAATTATTTTCATTGGCTATCTGGAAAAGTCTAAAAGATATAGGTTATATTGTCCTAACCATAGTACGAGAATAGCTAATTTCGACAATGGTTGGTTCATTGAAAATGATCAAATCAGTGGGAGTTTGAAATTGCTAAGTGTGGATGTCAAAGAAACTTGGGTTGAAAAGTCCAAACCCGAGATTCCACCAACGATTGTTATTTTTCTAGTTACTGTACCGTCATGTAACTTAGATGAATACCCAAATGATCCAAACTCAAGAGATTATAGAACAACCCGTGGTTGATGAATCACAAGTTTCCAACGAGCCACATGATGAAGTTATAATGAGATGGTTGATAAGAGAAAAAAATGACCTGTTATTTCTGATGACTACATGGTTTATTATCTTTAAAGTGAGTGCCTTGATCATGGATTTAGATCCAATGTCGTTTAAAGAAGCCATGAAAAGTATAAATTCTGAAAAAAAAAAATAAAAAAATTGATCAATTCCATGAAATGAGAATTAAATTCAATGGATGTAATAAAGTCTGGACTTCAGTATAGTTACCTAAAGGGTCTAAAAGAGATGTTATAAATGGGTTTTTCAAAACCAAACGCGACTCTAAAGGTAAAATTGAAAGATATAAAGTTAGACTTGTTGCTAAAGGTTACACCGAAAATGAAGGCATTGACTACAATGAAACATCTCTCTCGTTTGAAGAAAGATTCCTTGAGGATTGTTATGACAATGGTGGCTCAGTATGATTTGAAGCTTTACCAAATGGGCATAAAGATCACTTTTCTAACTGGTAAACTTAAGAGGAGATCTACATGAACTAATTAAAAAATTTTGAGATCACATGAATGTAAAAGGTTAGTGAGTAAGTTGAATAGGCCAATATATAAACTAAAACAAGCATCTCGTTAATGGTAGCTTAAGTTCAATATTACCATCACTGCCTATGGTTTTGTCGAGAATACTGCTGATCGGTGTGTTTACATTAAGGTCAATGGGTGTGGACATGTTGTACGAAGTAAAGTATTATCTCTCTAAAAAATATGAAATAAAAGATATGGGTGAAATGTGCTTGGTAATTGAAATAGAAATATTATGGAATAGATCACAAGGACTAAATAGTTTATCCCATAACATCATAATTCAAGAGTTTTAGAGATATTTAGAATGGTTGGTTGTTCCGTAAGAATAGTTCCAGTTTATGAAAGGGACACATTGAGTCTGAAATAAATGTCCGAAAGGTGAATGAAATGAAGAGTGATGCAGAAAAATCCTTAGATATAAATTATTAGGAGCCTAAAATGTGGACGAGCTTGTATAGGCTTGATAACATGTTTCTTGTTGGTACATAAAGCAAATATAGAAGTAATCCTTAAATGATTATTTAAATGCTGGAAAGAAATTTTCAAGTTATTTACAAGGCATTAAAGAACACATGCTAACTTAAAGAAGATCCAAATTATTTGTTATAATTGGATACTTGGATTCAGACTTTTGCTCATAATATCTAAAAGGAGCAAATTATGGAAAAGTGGACAAAAGTCCATCATCGCGATTTCTATGATGTAGGGTTGAGTTTGTGGTATGCTTTGAGGCCACGATTCAAAATTGATGGTTACAAAACATTATCTTAGTGCTTGGAAATGTCGACATTTAGTCCAAAGCCCTATGAAATTATTTTAGTTTTGTAGTAATACTATTTCAAGGAATGACAAGTATTCAAAGTGTGTGAATAACATAAATTTAAAATACTTGGTCATAAAAGTAGAACTGAAGAAATAAAGTGTCATTTGAGCATTTTAGTACTAATTGCATGAAAGTGGATCCACTAAAGAGTTATTCCCTAGTGGGAATAACGAACGGGGCCTTGTTGTACTGACGAGTACTGAATGTAATTGTTCAATTTAATAATTTAGACACTTATTAAATTTAATTAAATATGTTAGGTTTTTCACACATAATATCATCATTATGGATATATGATTTTATAGTATATACATAAAAGTTGGATGGCTTATGGTTATGATACGAACAGTTTGTTCCATATTAAAGTAAAGTTAAATTAGAAAGGATTTGTGGTTGTAGATACTTGAGTCTTGACATTAAATCGATAAACTCCAAGTAAGGCGAAGAACTTTCATTGGACAAATGACTGCAGGCTGGATTTTTTAAGGGCAGTGTGTTATTATTTTATTTATTTCTAAAAATTAGTTGTTTGAATCAATTAATATGGTTATTAATTGTGCAGAAAACATGGGAAATATCTTTAAGATACCTTTGATCAAGAATGACATGCAGTTACCTTGTGAAGAGTAGCTTGACAGCAAAGAAAAGCTAGAGTTTTCCATATGCGAGCATAAAATAAAAAAGAAATGATGAGGACTTCGGTAGATCGATTTGATTCACAGAGTCTATTACTTTTTATGTGAAGAAAATCAAGTCTTAGAGATATATTCTTGAATATATTAAGTTGAGTTGAGTTTATATTCATTGAGCAGATGATGAGAGTTTATTCTCGATCATACAGAACGATATATTTTTAGTGAGTGTTGAATTAAGTGTTCAGGAGGAACACTTAGAATAGCTTGAGGGATTCAAGTTAGAAAATCCACAAGGAATTTGTGGTCGGAAAAGTAATTGTATAAGTGGTTATATTAAAGGTTCCGAAGGGGGAGTGAGATGCTCCCCTGAAGGTTCCTGTTTTGCAGAACACAAATTCCGCATTTGAGTGAACTTACTTCTGAGTTCACTGTTTTTATTACTTAGCGCAATTCTGCTTACTCCCCCATGATTTTAGTGGTACATGGAAGTAATCATGTTGCTCGAAGATGGATGACCGCAATGACTCGATTATTTTCTATTTTGATTTTGGTACTTCAAAACCTCCTAACCAGCAGAAAACGGCCTGCTCGAACTCCTTCCTGCCGGTAGAATGGAAACCGTGTTCAAAATCGTAAAGCTCACCCCTATATATAGGTGGTGAGGTACCTATTCTAGAAGCTGCCCGGATTAGTTGAGCTGGCTGCCTAAGAGCTACCCAGCCTGCCCGGTAGTTCAACATACACTGGAGGTTTGTTATAAACAATTATTCAGTATGGGCCAATCAGGCCATGTTACGTATCTTCCGCAATGGGGGTTTGATTCCTCTGAGATCTCCTCTAGTGTTTGTCCAAGTCCAGGTCAGTCCGCTGATTGCTCCAAGTCTGGGAAGTGGTCGATCGAACGACCAGTTGTACGACAGGTCGATCTTCGAGCAGACCCTCCACGGGTCTGGGATCAACCTTTTCTTCCTACACAAAAATCCCTCATCAGTTTATCTTTCTATTAAGAGACTCTTGTTCTCGTGATGTTCGACCACGACCACCCCTTCTGTATTTGCTCGACCAGGACAGTTCACTTGATTTGCTCAATCAGTTCGCTAGACTGGATCATTCGGTTGGTTTACTCCTTTAGGTATGTTATCCCATATCAATTTTAAACTTATAGATATATGTATTTTTTTTTTCCCGAAACGATAGATAATTTTATAAATCAAAAATGCACAAATGTGCGAATACACAGCAGCCAACGACTGAATACACAGCAGCCAACAGCTGAAAAAGTGGGAGGACAGGTCAGAAGCCTGCCTAGAATCCCGACTAGCAACGCTAGAAGAAAAAACACACTCACAACTAAACTAACCAACTAGAAACAACTACGATCAACACCAACAACTACAAGGACCCCAACAGGGTAATACCCTAGTGTCGGACCCGAACGGAGTAATAAATTTGACACTCGGGCTCACAGGGGCCAACGACCCAAACCAAAAACACGAAACACAAACAAAACAAGACCAAAGAACGACCCTAACAAAGACTGAAACAACTAAACATAAACCAAAAAACTACACCTAAGAAATCAAGCCCTCCCTTAGCAGAACACCCGAAACATAACGAGAGGACAATAGACGATGCTTAGAGGAGATCCGAGACACAAGAACCAAGACCGCCACTGCTGCCGAACGCCTAGCAAAGGCTAAGACTCACACCCCGAGTCAATCCAAGAACCGACCCGCTCTCCAACCAATCGATGCCACGAACGTCCCAAACCGACAAACTGCCCAAAACCGGCTAACACCACTAGCCAGTTCCGGTAACGTCGGTCCTCCCCCGGACTCAAGCACCAGAGAACAGGGGAGAAGGAACACGAACAACATCAAGCCCGGTTCACTTCGCCATAGCCAGAACGAACCCGAGCTCCTCTCCCCGCCCGACAACAATACACCCCGGCCCAAATCCACTGCCAATCTAAATAGGCGGTGACAAGAGACCGCAGAACGGCACCGGCAGGAACACCGGATCTGGAGACGGGGCCATCTGCAAAGGCCGACAAGAGGAGGAGGCACCCGAACTAGGACTACGAAAGCGACCCGAGCCGAGTCCAGCGTCTGGCTTCGCACCCCACCCATCCTCATCACCCAGGAATGCCGACGGCTGCACGCACAAATCAAAGAAATCTGCCAAAGACCACCGATTGCACCCCTCGATTAGAGACAATGGAGAAGAGTACCGCGAACAGAGACATGGACAAGCGGCGAAGAGCTGTCCACCGGCGAGCCGGTTGGCCGCCGAGAGAGGCACCTCCAATAGATATATGTATTCAATCACAAGTTTGATGAAAGGTGCGCGCATAAAGTAGTTCATTAAGTTTCGACACTTATATGGTCAAGTGGGAGAATATAAGAATATTTTAATTCTTCTATTATTGTGGACCATATAATTAGTTGGACCTATTTGAATTAATAGTCAAATTTAATTAATGTGAATATGTATTTAATAGATTACTAATGTTCTAATATTAAAGAGCCTAATTTGTGATGTTTGACTTGGGCAATAAGTTGTGTTAGAACATTGGAATGATAGTAAATAAGGATTCTAAGTCTCCTCCCGTGTATACCACTACATGCCCCCCTCTCTCTCAGCTCATACGAAATAGAGTTCTCGACATCAAGAGCTTTATGAAAGTATGTGTAATGCCCCGTTTTATTTTAAAGAATTTATCGAATTTATTTATAAAAATCAGAGTTAATTTTTCACAAAATCCCAATTAAAAACTTTAATAATCAACTGGCGTTACTTAACTACCAGTAACAATTAAACAAATACGAACAAATAGATAGAACCTACACATGCATAAACTAACTGTTATAAAAATAAAACCAAATTATTCATAAGTCTCAAAATGACAAGTAGCTCAACATAAAAACAAGTAGCTCAACATAGATAATCATAAGCAGAAGCAAAAAGACACATCAACTAATGACCACCACTCGATCGTCTTCTCGCCGCCGCCGCCAGCCATGCTCAACCTACACAGAGGAAGAGCAGACAAAGAGAAAAGAAATGGGGGTGAGCAATCCATTATGCTCACCATTATCGCACAGTATATCCCGCATAAAGATTTCAAACCATAAATAATGTATGCATAGAATCCAGATCTGACTCCCTACTTGGCCCTATCGCAAACCTCCTATGTACATACAACAAACCTTCCGACCAGACATCGACAAGGATGTAACTGGAAACCTTCCCACTGCGGATACAACAGCCAAGGGATCCTTTCCAGGAGAGAGTGAAGCTGTTTTTTCTCCCCGGATACAACGGTTCGGGGCGTCCTCCTCCCGGATACAACGGACAGGTGACCTCTCACTGTTTATGCATTCGCCAAAGGCACTAACAACGGGACACTTAGACTAGGGTTTCTCAGACATACAGAAGCTATCGAGACAAACATTTATACGAAATAACGAGTGCGATAATTATAGATACAACGTAAACGTACCCACCTGTTTGCAGCGATAAATTCACAATATAAGACTCGAAAGGTAGGATTTGAGATAAACACCTCGGAACACCTACACGAAATCAAGATAACTCTCGACTACAACTAATCCGGCGATCATACAAACTTAGTCGAATCCGCCAACTAAGTGGCTCGTGGAAGATTCTCGTGGAGTTATGGAACAGTCTACTCGACTCGAACCAAATATGGGAAAATGCACATAATGGCCAACTCACAATATACTCAGCCACTTGACTTAAAATTCACACCACTTATATAACATGTAAGGAGGACATCATATATTAAAAATCATGCCAAAACTCAAGAGTTAACATGTTCATCCAATAAATCGAGCAAATTGACAATTAACCCTCATTTTCTAGATCACCAGGTGAATAAACGAATTTTGATTTAAAATTTAAACACATAATAGACATCACTGATTATATCAAAATCACCAAGTTTCAGCCATATCACTTGAACATGCGATTTTATAAAATTAAAATAAGACTTTAGGAAAAACAAGTACGAATTTAATGTCTGACCTAATGAATGATTTAAGACTTAAAATTTTTATACAAATAATTTCAGCATGCTGGAAACAACATATAAAATTTCCAGGTATAAGCACAGAATACACGAATTATGAAAATTATTGCAAGTTTCAGCAGAATACATGATTTTAATAAAAACCTAACATAATGAATTCAATAAATCCTGGAATTTTTACATCACATAAAACATTATCAAATGAGCATATAAACTAAGTTTCAGGTATTTTCATCCAAGAACCAATTTTACACAATTTTTACAAGATTCAGCAGAAACAATCAAATTAGCATTTACCCTAGCGATTGGATTCCAAATATTTTAAAATTTTAACACAAGGTCAACATGCATCAGGAGAACAACATATCCAAAATTCAGAATTTTTAGACAACAACTCAAATTAACACGAATTTAAATATCCACAGTAGCATCACTATATTCAAAAATTCATAACTTAAGATCAATAACTCCAAATGGCACAAGGTCAAGACTAGCATCACAAGGACACAAAAGTGTTCTAAAATCCATGAGATCTCCACGAGTTATCATCAGATCATTCGGGTTTCAAAATAAACTCCTAAGATCCATGATTATCATATAAACAAAATACATAATTTTAACATACTAATATTATCACATTTTCAACATGAACACATCTAGCACAAATATATTTAATGGAGTTTAGCAAATATACCAAACACCAAGGGGAGAATACGAACACGGCTCGATCACGGGAAGGCTCAGTTTTTGATGTTCGATTCATAAGGGCTGGGAACTCGTCCGTTTGTGCTCGACGTTGGAGGCGGCTCGCACGGATGAGGAGGATGACCAATGGTGGCTCGTGAAGCTGGTCGGGCGTGCGAGGAAGATGGTTGGAAGTTGCAGTCAAGACGCTGAGGTCAGAGTTGCTGGCGGCTCGCGGGTGGCGCGTTCGGCGACTGCTTGTGCGGGTTCGGGGGCGACGGACCTCTGGCATTTCGTGCGAGCTTTTCCGGCGACAATGGAGGAATGAGGAGTGAGGGAGAGATGAGATAAAAGCTGGAGTTTGAGGGAGGAAAAGAGGAAAATAACGTGAAAAAGAAATGAGGGAAAGAGGGTAGAAGGTTGCCTTTTATCAAGGTCAGTGTAACCTCCCACATTAAGATATGGTCAAGGCATAAAATGTGGGATAAGGCTGATATGGGGGAGGGAATTCAAAATTTGAACAGATTTCTAGAAGCCATGCATGGCGGGTCGAGCAAAAAGAGGGTCGGGCTGGGGCGCTTCGCGGGTAGGCGGTTGCTCGCGCGGTGCGGGCTAAGGGCGTGACTGGTGCACGGTTTTGAGGCCCGCTTGCCTTGGGCGCGTGAACGGTTCAACGGCTCGACTCGGCCGTTCCCTCGGTCCGATCGGTAATTAATTAAAATAATAATAATCCAGCTTGATGTTAAAATTACTAAACACAAAATTAGAAAATTACGAGCACATAATCACAATCGAAATTAATAATCGAGCACGAATAAAAATAAACCGGACAATTAAAAATAAATAATAACTCCAAAATAATCCAGAACAAATGGGGCGCTACAATCTACCCACCTTAAAAGGAATTCCAACCTCGGTATTCAAAAACAAAACAAAACAACTAGAATACAAACGAATATAAAATGGGGATCAAAGAGCGAAGTTCGGATATCTCCTCCTAATATCAGCCTCAGTCTCTCAAGTCGCCTCAGACTCGTCGTGTCGGCTCCACAGCACCTTCACAAGACTCACTGCCCGGTTCCTCAGCTGATGGACATTCCGGTCCAGTACGGCAACCGGTACCTCCTCATAGGTAAGGTCTCGCTCGACCTGCAGCTCGCCGAAGTCCACCACGTGGTCGGAATCATGTACATATCTACGCAGCATCGAGACATGAAACACATCATGCACTCCCGCTAAACTCGGTGGCAAAGCTAGCCGATAAGCCAAATCTCCGACTCGAGCAAGGATCTCAAAGGGCCCGATATAGCAAGGCCGAAGCTTCCCCTTATTTTCGAAGCGAATCACACCCTTCATGAGAGAGACCTTCAGAAAGATGTGATCACCAACAACATACACATGCTCCTGCGTATCTCGATCGGCATAAACCTTCTGCCTCTCTTGGGCAGACAAGATATTCTTCCGGATCTCATTCACCTGCTCCGAAGTCCTACGAATGAACTCCAGACCCATAATCTTCCTCTCACCGAATTCATCCCAATATATAGGAGTCCGAAACTTTCGCCCGTACAAAGCCTCGTACGGTGCCATCTTGATCGAGGCGTGATAACTATTGTTATAGGCCAGCTCGATCAATGGTAGCGCACTCTCCCAAGTTAAGCTACGGTCCAAGACCACAACCCTCAGACTATCCTCCAAGTACTGGATCGTCCACTCCGACTGACCATCTGTCTGGGGGTGAAAGGATGTGCTAAATGCCTACCTCGTTCCCATGGCTCGGTGCAAACTCTTCCAGAATTGACCCGTGAACTTCAGGTCTCGGTCAGACACAATCTCTGCGGGCACCCCGTGGAGTCGAATAATCTCATCTGCGAACAACTCGGCGTAATCACTGGCCTTCATAGTCGTCCTGACTGGCGAAAAGTGGGCAGACTTCATGAGTCGATCCACAATCACCCAGATAGAGTCGTGTCCGGATCTTGATCTCGGCAATCCCACCATGAAGTCCATGGTGAGGCACTCCCACTTCCACACGGGAATGTCAAGTGGCTGCAATAGCCCTCTCGGTTTCTGGTTTTCAGCCTTCACTTCCTGACACACCAGACATCCGTTCACGAAGCTCGCCACTTGGCGCTTCATACCTCGCCACCAGAAAGTCTTTCTCAAGTCCTGGTACATCTTCGTGCTACCCGGATGGACGGTGTACGGAGCACTGTGAGCCTCTTTCAGTATCTCTCTTCGCAATTCTCAAACCTTCGGAACACAAAGTCTCCCCTCGAAGACTAAAGCACCGTCGGTCGTAACCGAGAAACCACCAATCCGTCCGGCTAATGCCAACTCCTTCATTCGACATAGGAAGCGATCGTTCACTGCTCGGCGACGATTCTCTCTCTGAGAGTCGGTCCCACAACTAGTGCTGCTAGAATGCCACTAGATATCAGAGTAGACTTCACGATCTCCAATCTCAGCCGTTCGAAATCCTGGACTAATTCCTCCTCTCGGGTAATCAAGAAGTTCAGCTCACCGTGACTCCTCCGACTCAAGGCGTCGGTGACCACATTAGCTTCCTCGGATGGTAGCTAATTGTGCAATCATAGTCCTTCACCAGCTCTAATTACCTTCGTTGCCGCATGTTGAGCTCCTTCTGCGTGAAAATGTACTTCAAACTCTTGTGGTCGGTGAAGATTTCGCACTTTCTCTCGTAGAGGTAGTGCTGCCAAATCTTAAGCGCATGGACCATTGCGGCAAACTCCAGGTCATGGGTCAGATAGTTCGCCTCGTGAGGCTTCAACTGCCTCGATGCGTACACCACAACCTTCCCTTGCTGCATCAACACACAGCCCAGACCCATCTTCGAGGCATCGCTATAAATAGTGAACCCCAAAGTTGGATCCGGTATGGTAAACACAGGTGCAGACGTGAGCCTCTTCTTCAACTCCTGAAAGCTCGACTCGCACTAGAACTCCATACAAACTTGATGCTCTTCTTGGTCAGGTTCGTCACCGGTTGGGCCACTTTCGAGAAACCCTCGATGAAATGCCGATAATATCTCGCCAATCTCAGAATGCTACGGATCTCACTAGCATTCTTCGGCGTCTCCCACTAGCTGACAGCCTCAATCTTTCCCGGGTCTACTTCAATTTCCTTGGTCGTGACAATGTGCCCAAGAAAGCCACTCTATCCAGCCAGAACTCACATTTCGAGAATTTCGCGTAGAGCTTCTCTCGACGAAGGGTCTCCAACACTACTCTCAAATGCTCCTTGTGCTGCTCGATGTCCCGGGAATATATCAAGATGCCGTCGATAAAGACGATGACGAATTAGTCTAGATACGGATGGAAGACACGGTTCATCAAGTCCATGAACACCGCAGGGGCATTGCTCAACCCAAACGGCATCACCACGAACTCGTAATGGTCGTACCTAGTCCAGAAAGCGGTCTTCGAGACATCAAACCCCTTGATTTTCAGCTGATGGTAACCAGACCGCAGATCGATCTTGGAGAAGACACTGGCTCCCCTCAACTGATCAAAGAGATCTTCGATTCTCGGCAAGGGATATTTGTTCTTGACCGTCAAATTATTCAACTCTCGATAATCGATGCACATGCACATCGAACCATCTTTCTTCTTCACGAAAAGCACGGGCGCTCCCCAGGGAGAAACACTCGGTCGGATGAAACCAAGGTTCAACAGTTCCTGGATTTGCGTCTTGAGTTCTTGCAACTCCTTCGGTGCCATTCTATAAGGTGCCTTTGAAACGGATTCGCCTCCAGGTAGCAATTCGATGGTGAACTCCACTTGTCGGTTTGGCGGTCCACCTGGCAACTGATAAGGGAAAACGTCGGGGTATTCGCACACGATTGACACATCCCCAGGAGATGCTTTTTGCTTTTCCCCTGCTCCAACCATGCTCACTAAGTAGCCTTGGCATCTACCCTTCAATATTCTCTTCGTCGCCTTAAGGGAGGATATGACCTTTGGCATGGTTCTCGATTTGGCGTCGAAAAACATAATTGGCTCTCCATTGGTTGGGTGCAGCGTGATCTCCTTCTCCAAACATCGGATATCTGTGCGGTAGAGAGTGAAACAGTCCATTCCGAGGATGACATAGAAATCTCGCATGTCGATGATGTACGCATCTGCCTCCAGTGTCTGACCTCTGATTGAAATCTCGAGTCCCCGTACCATCGTATCGGTAGAGATCGTCTTTCCTGAAGCTAAACAAACCTCGAGAGCATCGACCCTACTAACACTCCAGATTCCCAGTAACTCCAAACATTAACGAGAAATGAATGAATGCGAGGCTCCGGTATCACATAGTGCAAATATAGGTACATTTGGTAAAGATAACATGTCGGACATTGTACCTGCATTGTTGGTTATCTCCTCCTGAGTCAAGGCATAAAATTGGGCTGGTGCACGCTGCTGTTGCTACTGATACTGAGGCTGGTGCTGATTCGGCCTCCGGGGTTCTGGGCAGGCACGGGAGTAATAACCCTTCCTCTGGCAGTTTGTTGCAAGTCACGTCGGCAGTTGGACACATATTGGCTTCGTGGACAATCCCGCATGCTCTACACGGCGGTGGTCCTGCCGAAATCGGCGGATAGGCTGAGCATTCTGTGCCACGGGCTGATGCTGATGAGGGCGATGACCATGGTTAAGGCGCTTGCCCTTCTTACTATTCTATCGTTCTTCCTCTTGCTAGAGCTAGAGGATAGGGTAGCTGGAGCATATGGAACCGAGTACTGATAAGGTAACTGAGGAATGAGCGGCGGCTGATAGGATGGCGGGGGAATGGCTGGTGGTGCAGTCTGGACAGACTGAGCAGAATGGTAGTATGAGGGAACTGGTGCTATTGGGATAAGACAACTCTCCACTTCCTGTGCCCGACGCACCGTATCAGCATAGGGCATCAAACCGTGACTCCCAACTAGCTCACGGATCCTCTGGTTCAGCCCCTCCATAAATTTTTGGGCCTTCTTCTCATCGGTGTTCACTATCTCACCGGCAAAAATACTCATCCTGGTAAAGGTGCGTATATACTCGTCCACGCTGGAATTGCCCTGCTGCAGATGATAGAAGTCATGCTCCATCCGGTCAATAAATCTCTGTGGAAGGAACTTGCCCCGGACAACCTCCTTCATCTGATCCCAGGTGATAGCATTACGCTCAACTACTGTCTTCGGAGCCCAGTAGTCAAGCCACCAATCAAACGCATTCGCCTTCATCTGGAAGGCGGCAATAGAGATGCGGTTCGCATCTGAGAAAAGAAGCACGACGAAGATCTTGTCAAGCTCTTTCATCCACTCAAGCACCGCGGTGGGTTCCTTAGTCCCCAAGAAGTTGGATGGGTGCATGCCCTGGAATTGGACTAAGAGCCTCAAGAAGTCCAAATTTGGATTAGGCGGAGCCTGCTGATGAGGTGGGGATGGAGGCGGGGTTGCCTGACGGTTGTTGCGGGTGTTGCGAGTGTTACGATGAGCCATAGTTCTACATTGAACAGGCCAAAAAGAATTTAGCACGAAAATAATAATAATCTAGAGTTCATCATTAAACACTAGAGTACAAAATAAACCCACGGTGGATAAATTTCCTAAGCCCCATATAAGATAAGCAAAACAA